AGTGAGCGCAATTTTAACATTTCGTTACTGCCTAATTCTTATTGACATATCCCACCGAACAGAGCTAATATGTTAATAAAAAAAAGCCAATATCTGTTTCCTGATGCCACATTCCCACAGCCAATGCTGAAGAGGAGGAGAGCACTTATTGTTCCTTTGATCATTTAATTTTTATTTAATCTTAAGGCTTCGGTTTCAAACGCATTGACTGTGTTTGATTTCTCTGTCTTACTTTGAGCTGCGCTTGGAACTGTGTTAAAATGGTATATTTCGGTTAAAGCGGGTGCTCAGATCTACTAGAGACTTTTGAGTGCTACAAGTGCTTAAGGCAAAGCTACATTTGGTCCTTTTCATACGTTCGTATAAAGTCCCTTTCGACATTGGGCCAATGTCAATGACGTTGCCGGAAAGCAAGCAAAAATGCCAATGTCATGACACAAAGAACATATTTATTACTATTCAATTTTTCTACTATCAAAGACTCTAAAAAAGTTGTCGATAGTCGAATGGTTCGAATTAAGGACATTCCAACATCAAAAAAAATGTGTATAGAAAATTAATTTAAATAAAACAATTAAGTTCATTTTTGGAATTGTAGAAGTCCCCCCCACAGGGAATGTCAACTCCTCCGAGTGTATTTCTCACATGAAATAAAGTTCCTCTAAAGAAAACCATCAGCCGTTCGGAGGCGGCTTAGTATAAACAGTAGGTCCCTCCATTTGTTGGAAAAACATCAAGACGCAAAACCACAAATTGGATTAGAAGCTCGGCCAAAAATAGCTTCAGCGGTTATAAAGAGCCAGTTATAGATGTATATATACTATATTCCCTAGAGTTGAATGTATTCAGATGCGGCGTTAAAGTCCTATCTACTATCGGCTTAAGCTCTGACATTGTAGTACATTGCCGACCATCAGTGTGGAGACAGGGGCTGAGAGATGAACGTCTTTGTGAAAATCTTTCCGCCCAGAATCCGCATCCATGAGCTATCTACTCGTAAAACGTACAGATACTCACTCGGCTATAGTTCTTGCTTGCTTTGAAAAAAAATTTAGAATCCATTTACATTTTTAGTCTTTCATTTATTCATTTATTTATTTAATTATATCATTTTGCTGCCTTCGTAGCCGAAATAAATGATCTAATCATTATTTTGCATGTATGTAAATATTTTATGCTTAGTAAAAATAAAAATACACAGAACATACAGTATTTTCTAATTTACAGTTAATTGTATTTGATAAGTTGAACATATTTAAATTGTTGTTATCTATTTTTTGTTACTTTCAATTATGTTTTCTTTATTGTTTTTTTTTTTTTTTTGTTTGGCAGTTGCGGAAAATTCTTTGTGTATATTCATATTTATTTAGCGCTCGTTTTCGCATAAAACACTTTTTGTTGAATTTCGAATTTTTTAAATACACTCTACGACCGCAATTTGTACAAAATTTAAGTTGAGAAAAAACACATTAAAATGTGATATATTTTTCTTTACGTTCCGTTACTTATTTATCTTTAACGAAAACATATTTTTCATTAAATATTTATATATGTATGCAACTGCATTTTTAAAGTGTAAATGTTAATTATGCCTTAGTTTAGTTTACTTTTTTGGGAATATTGATTAAGTTTTTAGTTTTGGTAAAAAGCTCTGTAAAAGGCGCTTGAGTATTAGGTAAGGTGCAAATAAATGTTCATTAATTAACATGCAATTGAGTATAGAAGGAAAAATAAATAAATTTCATTATAAAGTAAATGCAATTTGTATTTGTTGTTTTTTTTTAAGTATGTATGTATTTATTTATTTATTTATTTGTTTTTTTTTTTTTCTCCCAATGTAAATAGAAAAATGCTTAAATATTAATAAATACATTTACATTTGTTGTAAACTTATTTTGTATCAACTTATCTTTCTTTACCTTTATTATATTTTTGATTTAAACTAAGCCATTACATTATCATAATACTATACAAATATATACTTTTATTTTTGCTTTAAATTAAGTTTTCTTGTCTAAATGTTAATTTACATAGAAGGTATTTTCGTTTTGTAATTTTCCATTCTTCTTTATTTAACAGCATTTTGCTAATAATGTTGTTATGGATTGCGGAAAAATATATGTAATTTTTTGGAGATTGAGAAAATTGCATAATTTTAATACTTTTACAATTACTTTTCATGGAATTTAACTAATTCGGCTTTTCATACGGACACCTTTTAATAATAACCAATTTTCATTTTATATTCAAATAAATATTTCCATGCACACGGTTTTTGATTTTAAATTCTTGAATTGTTCTTTAATCTCATATTATTTTATTAAACATTTATTAACATCCAAAAAAATTGATTTGTATTTACTTTGAAACGCTTGAGCATTTTTTCTCGCTTTTATTTTTTTTAAGGTAAGACCCGACTTAATTTTTTTTAGCATTTACTTTTACATATCTTTGGTGTGAAATTCTGAGCAAAATTTTTTTTTATTCTTCACAAATATTTTTCTCGTTTTCTTTCTGTACACATAAGCCACATTTTACATTTAATCGTTATTTATTCATAACTTTCTTTCTATAATTACGCTTAATTTTTGAGCTTAAATTAGTTAAAAGTGTATTTAATTCAAATAAAATATATTTTAATGAAAATTATAATAAACTTATATAATGCGAGTTTAAATAAAATTTTCATAAAACAACTATAAAAAGATCCAATCGGTATTGAAATTTAAATCATATTTAAATTTATTTAGGAATTGTCATTTAAATGATATTTAATTTTCCTTGATTGTCACATAACTCTTGCTTAAATTTGGAGGCGAAAATGTCAAATACGAATGATTGATGAAAAGAGATACCGATAACTACAGCGTGTATCATAAGGAATTTCCAGAACTAAGTACGAGCAGCCGGTGAGTTACATAAGAGAGCGGCCAAAAGTGCACTCGTTGGTGGCAAAATCGGTGTAAAGGGGAATTAGTAGATTTTTAGTGTAGTATATAGTAAGGAGAATTGTTTTCGATTGAGCAATAAATAAACGCTTATTGAGTTTCTTAAAATTTGGAAATTGTGCAAAAGAAATTAGAGATTTTTATTTAACAAGAAATATTCGGGGCGTATTTAAGCTAAATCGTTACAATCTTGTAGCGAAAATACCAAGTACAAATGTCAGTTGAACAAAAGAGACCGCGTGAATCAGAAATGATTCGCATATTCTTTATCGTGAAGAATTTGTAACGAAGCACAAATTTTAAAGATTTCTATTTAACAATTCACTAATCGAATAAGCACTATTTGAAAAATGATCGTTATTAAATTTACGAAAATCGTGACGTTATGAAGCACAACAAAAATAAGTGCGATCACTGTATTAGTTTCTTGAAGTTGGTTGCTTATACTTGCATATGCTTTTTGTCAGACATTTACAGGCCTATTCTCACTGTTATCAGTAAAGTAAATTTTGTAACTTTTTTTTTAACACCCGAAATTGAATTTGGTATTCTGGCGAACTGGTTATAATGTTTGAAAAAACTTTGGCAGCACTGCTTTTTTCGTCCATGTCAAATTACATTTGCCAGTTGCTATAGTAAAAAAATAATATTGACATTAAAATGGAAGACGGTGCACTTTAAATTAAATAAGTTTTATTTATTGGTTTTTTAAGTATAAATATTTGAAATTAATTTTGGAAAATATGCTTAAACAAAAAAAAGCTGAAAGAAAACACTGTCTTCCAAATTAAAATAGCCATTTATTTCTCGCGAACTTCTAAGCGTACGCCTTTACACACTTTTTTCTTCAACTTCAATGAATTCCAGGCGAAAAGTATGCCTACGCATTTTGGTTTTTTATATTTTTCTCAAACTAACAGCACAAAATCAAATAGCTGATTTTTTTATTACCTCCTATTTCGCTGGTAACAACATTTACAGGGTGCCAGTGAACTCAGAATACGAAATAGTAACAAAAATGATTGAATGGTAAATTTTAATACCAAAGTATATTGTGTTACCTCGACAGAATAGGCCTGTTAAAAAGAGTTTTGCTCTTCGAGTTTTAATTTTGAGCAATTAGGTTGATAAATTATACTCGTATAACATTCAACAATAGAAGAATAGAATATAGAACTGTTTTCATTTGATTGTAATTTGCATTTATATTTTGCTCTCAGTAAACAGCTTATACTTGGATGGTAGTTAGTGTTTATTTAACCCCTTTTTGTAAAAGTCTGTGATATCCGAAGTTAATTAATTACTTATGTAATTACAATTTTACATATATTTTAAAGCTTTGAATTTTAATTTCAATTGTGTTCGATCTAAAAAAAAAATGTGTTGTTGCAAATATGAAAGTATCTTCAATCTCATGACCGACGTTAAGGGGGCAATATTTCAACCTTACTTTTTAAATTGATGAAGCACACGCGCTAATATTGCTAATATTTTATTTTATTAGTCTTTTAATTTTAAGTACGTTTTGATTTTGTGAATTAATAACATAAATAAAAAATGAAAAAAAAAAAACAAGAAAATATTAATGAAACACCTTAAGCTTATTAACTAAATGTTAGCACTTGTTCCATTATGAGCACTTAATAACAGCAAATTAAACTTAATTAATTTTTATTATCATTATAAGTACTTATTACACTTTTACAATATTATATTTATATTAATGCTAAATGAATGCTCCTTCTTTTATTACTTTTAAGGCAAAAATGAATGGATTTAATTGTTAATTTGTTAAGCAGTTAAAAATAAGAAAAGTGCTTAAATTGCATTAAGGAAAGTATATGTATATGTGTACATACATATATCTATAATGTATGTATATGTAATTGAATGATTACAAAAGAGAGCTAATATCGTAAAAAGAATAAGTCTATTAAATTCTTAATAAAAAAATACTCTTGTTTTAAGGAAATCTATACGCGTGTGTGTGTATGTATGAATGTATATAATTTTTGTAAATAAAAGGCTTATAGCAAATTATTAATTTGCATATGGAATTTTTTGTTATTGTTTATTTACCTATACATATACATATGTATATATATTATAATAAATACGAATGCGTTTAAGTTTATGTTTATCCTTTGCAAATAAATGCATTGAGTCTGCATGTGAAGTTTTACTTTTTCTTATTATTACAAAATTTGTTTGACTGACTTCACAACTAATTTATTTCTTTAAATAATAATGAATTTTTCCAGTTGCTATTATTTGAGAAATTTTACTTTTGCAGTTATGGTTGTTGCAGAATATTTGTTCGTATTGATTCCAAATAATGCGTCTTCCTTTTTTATCGCCATTACTGTTAAACCGTTGATACTTCATTCAAACATTCGAAGTAATTTCAGTACTGTTAAGGATTTTAGTAACAGAATTTCCAATTTTCAGCTGTTTTTTTTTCGGTTTATATTTTGTTCGTTTATTTAAAACACTTCCATTTTCATTCACACAGCCGAATTTTTACCAAGTATTTCACCGCTGCGTGAATGCACAAACTGTCCATCGAATTCCACAGTAGAATTTTGTTTCACACTACCAGTCGGCGTTTGCAAGGGTTGCTTTTCATCTCTGTTGGGGGAAGGAAATGGAGAAGAGAGTAAATACATATGTATTTATCAAAGCGCAAATTAAGTAAATATAAATAGTAACAATGGTAAAAGATAAATTGTTAATAAAAAAGTTTTAGCAAAATTCAGTCGTGCTTAAAAAAGTTTTTGTAAATAAAATACACGCACAAAAACAAAAATACAATAATAATTAACAATGAAAAATTTCAAACAGTGTTCCATTCAGGAACTGAAAAGCTAATGAGCTCTCTTAGGTGAGAGATGTCAGTAATGTTGAATCAATCCATTTTACTTACCAACCATCCATAATAACCGACGCCAAGAGCGAGATATATACACAACTGTTGACCTAGCTGAGAGCGGCGAAATGTTGCCAGTGTGTTTGCACACTTCTGAACAAGTTCATAATTTTCGTTAACAAATTTCCTAATTTATGTGTTCGAATATAAACGCTAATCAAAAATAAATGACCTATATGGTAACAAATAATTAGTTCCGAATTTAGTTTTCATTTCTTTTGAAAAAAACTACGCATTATCTTCGATTATTTAATGTTACTTTAAGAAAGACTATACTGGCAACCTTATATAGCAACGAGAAATGATCAAATCGCCGTTGGTTTCTGCTGGACAAACGTCACTAACGGTATGGGCAAGCGGTGACAACTTTGTATTTACATGGCGCTCTCATAAGATAGGTTGTTATAGATGGAAGGTACGTGAGTTGGGTAGTTGCAGCATAAGAATTAGCCAGTAACGTAATGTCAAAATTTCCCTCTCTCGGTTTAAATTGCCTCATCGAATGCAGCTCAGCAAAAAATTTTAACAATTGTTACTGTCCAACAGCTCACCGAAGAGGACTATTTTCAATGCTGTTTCTAAGGAATTTAGTACATCAGGGCAAGTGCTTCTTAATAAAATGTGAAAACGGCAAACTAATTTTTTTTTTAAATAACAGTGCACATAAAAATTATAATATTGAAAGATATGTTGATTTTATATTATAAGTATTTACTAACAAAAGAGAAAAGAAATATAATTTGTTTAACTTCATTGCGGTTTCACAATGCACATCCGGGTAAAAAACTATCAGTTTGGATCTGAATAAATACAAAACCTGAGACGTTTCTCATAATAAGAGAAGAAGTAGGAAAATACATCGCCGTCGTTTGAAGACAATTTTATTAGATAAACTTGAAGCTACAAAAATGTTTCAGCCATCAGTTGTGCTCACTGAAATAAATGCGTATACGCCACGTTGGTCTCATAAAAATGATAATATTGGGTTGCCCAAAAAGTAATTGCGGATTTTTTAAAAGAAAGTAAATGCATTTTTAATAAATCTTAGAATGAACTTTAATCAAATATATAATTGCCATTTTGTTCGATAACCTTTTGCCATCTTCCTGGCAAATTTAGTATTCCACGCTCATAGAACTTCTGGCCTTTATCTGCAAAAAACTGAACCAAGTGCGATTTTATAGCCTNCTAAAAGTAACAGCTGATAACTGACAGAAGAAAGAATGCAATTACAGAGTCACAAGCCGTTGAAAAAATTTGTCAACGCCGACTATATGAAAAATCCGCAATTACTTTTTGGGCAACTCAATATTTTATCCTCGTCTGACTTGGGTAATTCAGCCAATTTTTTCTCGATTTAGTCCACAACATGAACTGCTAATTAAAATACTTTAAAACGACAAAAGCGATTGAAAAAAAAGTGCAGTCGCTGTTACGTATAGCGCACGATCCTTAGAGTTTCAATTTTGTTGGACATATAAAACAATGATTATACTCGCCTGCAATATTTTGTTATAAGCCTCAAAGCCAACAGCTCCACTTGCACCGCTAAACGAACAAATGAGCTTTAAGAAGAAGTCAAACAAAAGGGTGACAACATTTGAAGGTTCATAATGCCAGAACATTAACAAAAAAACTTTCAGCTAAGCGTTTAAGGCTTGGTTTTACGAAAGCCATATAAAAATTCTACTTCTGCGAGTCTGAGGTCATGTTTAGCAAGACCGGACTATTCATTTGAACCAAGGTTGCGCTTTAGAACCTAAAGTTGTGAACAAGTTAAAATTTTTTAATGAAAAACCTTGAAACTTTGGATTTGAATTCTGTTTAGGTATTGACATTTTGTGATTTTCGTTTTTTACCAAATACGAAGTGAATTTTTTTTATTTTGTTTTGAGGGCACACCAAGTGTGAAATTTCAAAAAAAATCGATCTATTTTTCATATTTCGGTAGATTACACCTTTAGAAATAACATATTAATATTTCAAATCAATATCTCAAATAGTTTTTGAGTTATAGCAATTTAAAGCGCAGCCGCTCGGCAGCAAGAGAATCCCATTAGCTACGAGTGAAAACGATCATTTTATCTTTAAACGCGTTTTTCTCGAAAGAGCATTTTCCGAATTTGCAGCAGTGACTACTCAAATACAAATGATCTGATCACTATCAAATTTTTGTTTACATGTTCTATATATAGTTCTTCGTACAAGGACCTATGGATTTTTGATCTGATCAAAAAATCGAATTTCGGCAGGCCAAAAACCACCAAAATTTTGGCTAAAATTCGACATTTTTTTAAAACGCCACCATTTTGTCGATTTTTGGTTTTTTTATCGTAGGTCATTGTACAGACAATATTATCTAGTTTAACAAGAATTTTTTTTTAGATTTCATCCACGGAGAATGCCGGAATCACTGCAGCAGTGAAGGACCTATAACTTAAAAAATATTTATATTTTTTCTTCAAAAATTTCACTGTATATTCTTGAAACATATATGAATATATTCGTAAGATTTTGAAATAATTGTTAAAGTATTTTTTTTTAATAAAAAATTTCCAAAAATCACCTTTTCCAGGCCATTACACTAGGTGTGCCCCTTAACTTTTAAAAACTAAACTAAACATAAAAAATTAATTTTTGTTTTCACTTAAAAAAATTTCGGAGCAAAAATACCGATAGTTTGGGGAACCGATTATCGAAAACATCGATAGTCCGAAATATGAAATGAGAAAAGTTGGACTAAATGTTTTGTTAGTTTTGGCAATTCGAATATTCGAATTTCTCCAATTTCTTTATTGCTCCGGAACACATTTCTGATTCTGTTTCGAAAATTTCAAATGTCAACCAAAGCAAAAATTTTTAAAATTTTCCAATTTCGGAATTGGATGCGATTGGCGTTCCGTAGTAAATAAATATTAGTAAACTTAAATTAATAAATTGTTAAGAAATGTTATTTTATATTAATATAACAACAACAAACAACAGTACAGAGCTAGAAAATATGTAAAAGAATGTAAATTTACCAACATATTGAAATTTTTATCTGTTAAGTACACTAAATAACTTGCAATTTTAGCGCATTTAAAACAACAACAAAAACATAAGAAGCACTTAACGTACGAATACTAATTTTTAAGAGGTTAATGCACAAAATGATTTCTGAAACATAGAACTACATGCAAATATCGTATTTTTTACTTTATAGTGATACGTACAATGGCGATGTCAGTGGTGATCCACCGAGTTTAACTGGTGGCGGTAATGGTAGCGGTGATGGTGGAGGCTCCTTAACCAATTGTCCACTGTAATTAGGTAGCGGGAAATGCCAACCGTAAAGACTGCTTGGTTAAATGTTTCTCGTATATTTTTTGCTTTTATTTTGTTTGTAAGTGACAAGAGTAATGAGAGATGGGAAAGGGGGAGTACATGGATGTGTATGTATATATGTATGTAATTGTGACAAGGATGAAGGCAGAGGTGAGGATGTAACACACAAATAGCAAATACAATAGATGTTGTTGTTGTAAAAATATAAATATGCACTTTGATGATATTTGCTGCTTATTTTTTATAATACTCGGATAGTGATTATAAGAAAGTATATAAATGGTTAATTGCTTGATTTCTAGTTAAACAACGGTAACATGAGATACATTTATTATTTAGTCCAATTAAGAGACACACATTGACGTGTTACCACATAATTGATGATTTCCACACATATAAATGACGATTAATTACAACCAATGAGCATATGCGAATACTACATACGAGTGCGTTTGGTTAGAGATACCGAAGAGAATTTATCGAATGATCGATTTTTTTTTGCTTGATTTGCATGTTTACTTCATGGTAGGAGCATAAGGGGTGTGGGAATACGGAGGTTAGATGGTTGGTGGTCTAAATAATATTGCACTAAAAATATAAATTTACACGTACACATTCATCTATGTATGTATGTAAGACTTAACGGAAATGAAATGTGATATCTAGGCACATTTGGCATGGTGTGAAAGCAAAAGCTAATTAAATAAATAAAGAAATGACAACAGCAACGCGAATGCAAATTAAACGAAAACCAATGAATTGCGATTGATCAATAATGATTTTGGCCTAGCAAACACCCAAGCGTACTCAATATCCGTATGCGTGCGTCGTAAATTTTCACTGAGCCGGTGTGGGTCCAATTTGGAATTGTGAGAAAATTATTTCATTTTTATTTTGTGATTTGCGCAAAATTAAAGTAAAAGTGTGGGGGGTGGGGGAAAGAAAGATAAAAGAAAAAAATATATGAAAATTAATATTTTGCTTTAATTTCTTGAAAATTTACATATTTTTAGTGCAATACCATTGTTAAAAACAACAAAGTTATAGACAGTACAAATACAAAAACACAATTACAAAAAAGATATAAATATGGCAATTTTCTAACGCTTACCTGCCCAATTTCGTCTCATCATCAATATCGGAAGGCGAACGTTTTGCCCGTCGGCACATTGTTGCCATTACGCCCATGCGTACCGTTACACAACATAACAGGTCGATAATGAAGAGCAGCAATAGTACACCGCCAACAGCTATGCCCACAATAGTGGCGGAAGAGAGCACCTGACGTTCGGCTACTTGTATGACATCAATGCCTATGGAGAGTTCGCGTTGCGATAAGGAAAGAAATGCAATGGGAAAGTTTTATGTTAATATAGTTAATGTAAACTTTAATGGAAAAATAATAATTGAAAATTTCATACTTCAAAAATTATTTTTATTTACAATAAGTTGAATCATTTCGCTATTTTTAACAGAAAATTATGTATGCGATGGGAGTTGTTCCTCACAAATTTGTGAAATAAAAAATTATAATAAAAAATACTTCAATTGCTATTCAATAATTATTAGTTTTTCACACAATTTTTTATTTGTAAGAAAATAAAAAAAAGGGAAAATAAATTTCTTTTCATTATTACATATATATTTAATAAATAAAATGAATTAAATGATTCTGATTTTAAAGAGTGAGAGAAAAATTGAATTTCAAAATTTGAGAGAAAATTTAAAAATAGAAAAAGAAAATTGATAATTAAACGGGAAGCTATTTTTTTAAATTAAAATTAAATTTGAATGTTGTTGGAATTATATTTATGTGTTTTATTAGTTTTATTTTTAAACTTTGTAGCTGCTCGTAAACTAAAGGTAAATGAAAAAATGAAGATTTCATCATTGTATAAGTAAATAAATAAATATAAATAAATAAATTAAATAGGTTTTGCTTAAATTTTACTTATAGTAATTAATTATATTTACTACCAAAGTATACATTTCAAAGTTATTCCAAACCATTAACAAAAAATTAAAATATTAGGGGAAAAAATAACTAAATAAACACAGATGAAATATTATATTTTTGGAAATATTTTAAATAATATGAGCAACTTTTATTTTACAAATAAAAAATTTGTGTAAAGTATTGTTGTTTTCTAGTTTTCAATTAATTTTTAGATTTCAAAAAAAAAAAAAAATTCTAGATAAAATGAGAATTTTCGCGTTTGTTTCATCGTCCCCAAGTCCTCATATAATTTCAGTTGAAGCATACATAATTTTCTGTCATTCACAATAATTACAAATATTCTTAAAAATAAATTCATAGTTTTTAGTCGTTCATACTTATTATTGCAATTATTTGTTATTATAATTTTTTTTCATTAAATTATATTTTGTTGTATTTTACATTTTGTGTGTGTATACATATGTATGTATTATTCTCTTGTTCAAAAATAAAAATTAAATAATAAATCAAAAAAAGCATCGAAATATAAAAAAAAAATATAAAATTAAGCCAAATGAAATTGTATTATAATAAAAAAAAATAAAAGCGCCAATTGCGATAATAAATAAAAAAACATGCCGCTCAATCCCGTGGAATTATAACTAGCTGTGGGTTGCGTACAGTGGTCGGTGAGTGGGTGAGTACATGCAAACAAGTAAAAGTATATTTTACAAGGGAAATTATATAATTTATTTTAAAAGCGTTGTATTTTTAATATAAAAATACCAATGCCAAATAAATTAAAATATTTATATAAATCGAGCATTGCAAATATAGAAAAAATTATAAAAAGTAGAATATGTATGTAAATAATGTTTCACATATATGTAGCCAACTGTAAGAGTGAAATAAAGAAAAAAAATATTTAAAAAAGTAGCATTTTATGTACAATTTAATAAATACCGATTTGAGCACAAAAAGCATTTGTTTGTTTGTGTGGGTTGTTTAGTGTAACAGAAATGAAAAATACTGTTAATAAAATTTCCAAATTAGATTTACATATTTAAGAGACATGTAAAGTAATGTAATACTTAAAGGGTCGTCAGAGTTTGGAAAATATGTGCGTAGATAGTTTAAAGAAGAAGTGGGAGCACTACTATTGTATTAAAAGTATTGTTGTATAAACAGTTAATTAAATTGCTACAGTTTGCAAAATTTGTGTGCTCAAGGCGTGTCAACTGCAAGGTGGGCCATAAGTGAGTTTGGCTAGGTTTACAACTAATTTTAATTTTATAAGCACAGTACAAAAATATACATAAAAATATTAATATTTGATTTGTAAATGTAAATTTGAATATTTTCTTCGTTTCTTTTGAATAAAACTATTTTTTTCTTAATTTTTCATATTTTTTACACATAATTTGTTTTTAATTATGAATAGTTCTTTATTTTTTATGTATGCATTTTATATACTACTTTTTTGTTGGTTACCTTTTTCAATCCTATAAAAAATTTTTCGCCATGGTGATGTTACCTGGGGTACATAAGTAGGTGATACGAGAGGAGAGAACACTACATTCAAGTTAGATTAATCGGTAAAATATAGCGCATAAATATGAAGAGGAGAGCGTACGATCATTTTTATTTTGAAATTCGGTAGATTAGCTTTTTTAACAATAGAAAAATAATCAGAGTCCATTAACCCTAGAAGAACTTGAGTTTATAAGTTTTCAATTATATATCCTGAATAAAAAAATATTTTCTGTATAAGAAACTATATGAAAACATTTTCAAACGAAAAATATCTTCCAAAACTACAATACTCAATTGGTTTCAGTGTGCTTAAAAACTCCTCTTTTAGAATTCCAACAAAACCAGCTGATCGTCCACACTCACATTATGATGAAGTTGGAAATATATTTTTCGAACATTGTGCTCTGCTAACGTACACAGAGATCACGATTATGGCTATAAAATCATATGAATAAGTAGAGGCCTCCACGTATAGATTTGCTATACGTTCTCTTCCGCTTGTTTGTCATTCCACGATCTTTTTATGACTTATGCATAGAGTTTATGTCAAAGCGTTGGTTTTGAACTGTTACTAAGCAAATTAAAAATATTTACAGTCTTTACAAACCATCTCTTTTTGAGTATAGAACAAGCATAAGCAACATAATTAATTTCTCTATTTTATATTTCATTCACTAATTTCTGTACATTATGCAAATTATAAATTATTTTTTATTTTTAAATATTTTCCAACTTTAGCCAACCGCTTAGCCTGTAGTTAATTTCATTTGTTTTTGTATTTGTATTTTGCTAGTTTCAACACATTTAATATTTTTATGTTACTCGTTTATACTACTTAAATGTATATTTCTTTATATTTAATATATTAGCCTTAGTTCAACTGCTATTTATGTATTTATTTACAAAATTTTCTAGTTTGTATTATTTTTACGTAAATATTTTTTAGTACTTATGACTATGTAAACATACTTTTATTAATTAATTATTTATGATTTTAGTTTACTAATTTTGTTTTACTTATTTTCGCACTTTGTTCGACGAAACACTGAAAGATTTAGGCGGGTTCTTTAGTAAATTTCAGCTAACTATTTATATTTACGAATCATGGAATGTCTAACGAATGACCATCTATTGTGAATGATTTTTTTTTTTAAGTTTTGAAAAGTAAAGTCAATTTTTAAACACTGCTCCAAAGAAAATAGTTTTTGGTTAAATTTTAATAATTTATGTAATTTATACAATAGAAGTAAAAAAAAATTAGTATAAATATAAAATTAGTAAGAAAAAAAAGTTGTGCAAGCAATATCTATGGCCCTCAAACACAAGCACATAATTAAATTTTAGTTACGTACGCTTGTATAATTTCACTAATATTTTTATTGTCTTAAAAACGTATATAATATGAAATACGTACACACAAAGGTACATTAAAGCAAATACTTTTGTAATATTTTCATATATAGGCATGAAACGACGACTAATGACTACACAGTATATGTATGTAAGTATTTTTAGCTTAGTTAGGCTAGTAATACTTAATTTTATTTTTCAGTTATTTATTTATGAAAATATTATTTTTTTATATTTATTTATTTTTTTATTATAAAATATTACATTTATTTAAATTATTATTTATTTATGTTAATTATCCAATTTATATGAGGAGCTCTATTTCATGTCAGAAATACACTCGGAGGGGTTGACATTCCCCGCCGAGGGGGGACCGCATTTAAAAAAGCCGTCAGTCGTTCGGAGACGGCTTAGCATAAAGTATAGACCCCTCCATTTGTTGGAAAAACATCAAGACGCATAACCACAAATTGGAGGAGGAGCTCGGCCGAAAATCATATATATATATATATATATATATAGATCCAATTTACATTTTCATATTATATTAAAACATATTTATTATATATGTATGTATTTTTCATTATACCATGTTATATTATTTGCCATGTTATGCTGAGTAATGCTTTTTTTTTATGAATCGCCGAAGCACCACCTAAGCATTCAGCTATCAAACAGCACAGTTAAATCGCATCTGCTATCGATTTCTTTTGTTTTATCGATTTTGGCATATTTAAAATAACTGCTTTAAACAATTTTAGTTTTGTGTTTACTTTCGTGTGTCGCACTCATTAAATTAGATTTTCTTTGCGAAATATTATAAGTTTTCTCTCTTCGCCGCACTAACTGTAAATATTTCTTTTAGTTTAATTACAAATACACAAATATATTGCTGGTCGCTGGTGTATGTATGTTTGTAAATTGGTTGTGCCAATTGGCCTACGTAAAAAATTGTTACGACTTTAAGCCATTGTAAATATTCATAAGTGTTCGGACAAAAAATTCTAAATTTTATGTTATACAATTTTATCAAAATTTGGAGTTGTATACATAAATATTCGTTGCATGGAAAAAGTTTACAAATTTTTGTGGAATATTTGTTTTTGTGCGTTATGAAGTTCAAATTTGTGAGGAGTAAATGGGTGTATGTATGTATGTATGTAGTTTTGGGTTGACTCCATAAGGATGAGTATGTATGGCTTATAAAGATTATGCAATGACCCTTAGCAATATTTGTATATGTTTTTTTTTTTAGTTAAATTTGAATTAATTCTACACTTTTTAACTGTGGTAATACACGGCTAGTTTTTTTTTATTGGTATTCGGCAGTGTTAGTCACAATGGAGACAGTAAAAAAAACATCAGACAAAGAGATGAAGGAATTCAAGAATTTAACAAAATTTGATCAATAATATTAAATATCAAAATGTTAAAGGGTAATGTATGCTTAATTTAAAAAAAAATCTTTAAAGGAAAAGTTTTCACACCAATTAA